TAATTAAACAGAATATAGTTTACATTTTATAGTTATTGTTTTGTTGTGTTATTTTCCAGATTATTTCTTTTATTAATTGAAATCATTGATTTTATGTTAAATGTGATGTTATTTCACTCAGGCCAATTAAAATAATCATTTCTGAGTGTTTATAAAATGTAATTGTTTATATTTTTATTTCACTTTATTTCATTGTTTATTTCTTGGTTATTGTTTATTCATTTCATTCATTGTTTGTTTTATTGATTAAAACTTTCTATGTATTGTGTGCTGTTGTGTTTTCTTATTGGTATTTCATTGTTTGTGATTAATTCAATCAACTCTCATCAAAATATTGTTAGTTGAATAATCAGTTAATTATCAAAACATGAATAAAAGAAATAAAGAATGGAATGAAGATGAAATGATGAAAGTATTTGAACAATGAGAACATCATTTTATAATGAATTGATATCATTTATCATATTCAATTCAAGTGATAATCGTTATTAACATTATTTTATTGTAGTTTGAAATATAACAAATAAATATTCTATTATTCAATTTATTCCTCATTTTTATTAAATCTTAAAAAAGAACTTTTAATTACCAATAACAAAAATGGTTCATTTAGAAAACGTCTTTTTAAAGAATGTATTATTGTATTTACCAACGTTAAAAGATGTTGGGAGATTTGCACAAGTATGCAAATCATGTGAAGAAGCAATCAACACGATTTATGTTAATCCATATGAATTAACAATCCATCATTCATTTGATGAAATTATTCCATTATTTCCTAATTTACAAACATTTTATGTTAGAAGATGTCCAGAAAGATTATACAAAATATCAGCAAATGATATTCCACTAATCGAAATAGGAGGATGGAATGAAACAGCAAAACAAACAAAAATGTTTGATACAAAATGGTTTTGTTCAAAAATAAGAAAATTACGAATGGAGGGATACTATTGTAAAAAAGTAATAGAAAAACATCCAGAATATTTTACACAATTACAAGAATTAGTTATTTTGAATTCCAATGATTTGAATCTAATAAGAAAAATGATTGAATTACCAACATTAAAAAAAGTAATTATTCTTTGTACCAACAATGAATTTCAAGAACTTTCAAAAATGGTTGATTTTAATAAATACAAACAAATCAATTTCATTATTATTTTAAATGAACATGGGTTTATCTTTAGTCAATGTTTCGACCAAATAGATTATAATCAATTTGTTAATTGTAGGTTTTACACTAGAGTACTTAATAAATCAACAATAAATTTACCTTATTTACCATCATTACCATATGAACAGAAGTTTCTCATGGGGTTCGATAAAAGTGGTGCTAGTGTTGTTATTAAAACTGATGTTTTAGATAAAATCAATCAAATTAATGAAATAATTGTAAAAAATGATATTCGACATGTTGTTATTGAAAATATTTTAAATGACTTTGAAGGAAATAGAATTGATTTAACAACATTACCCATTGAATTATTATCAATAAAAAAAGTTGAAAAACAAAATCTTGTTTTTGTCATTCCTCCTGGTTTAAAGTCATTAACAATTTATGAATGTAAGGCATCAATTGATATTTCAAAATGTTATTTAAAAGAATTAACATTACGTGAGTATCAAGGAAAACCAATAGATGTACATGATGATAATTTAAAAGTATTTGAAACTGATTTTAATCAAGAAATAAAATGGTATCATAATGATACATTACTTAATCAAAATGAAATCTATTTAGATGCAAACAAAATTACTTTGTTTAAAACTGGTTGTTCACATATTTTTATAAATGGTGAAAGAGTTGAAGATAACAGTCCTTTAAAAACTATCATTTTTAAATACAATGATAAGGAAATAAGAATAAATGAAGTCAGTGAATTTTCATTTGAAAATAAGTTTTTGTATTGTAGTTTGGGTAATGTACAAGAATTAGATTTTGGAGAATATCCATTTTGTGGTTTTGTTGTAACAAATTCTAAGATAAGCCATTTAAAAATAAAATCTAATTCAGTTGGTTTAACTCATGTTGAGTGCGATGATTTAATTATTGACGGTGCTTGTACTCAATTCGGTTTTACTGATTGTAAAATTGATACATTGACTTGTGACACTATCGAATGTTTAAATTGCCAGAGGTCAGACATCACTACTATAAATGCAAATGAGATCAAGAAAATTAATGGACCAAGTGCAAAATCAAAAATTAGGAATGCAATGAAAGAAAAAGGTAAAAGAAAGAAATAAACATTACTTCTTCTTTTTTCCTAATTGAAAAACCATTTTTCATTTTTTCTCTTTTTTTTTTCTTTTTTTGTTTGAAAATTATTTTAAATTTTTTTGTTATTCATTCTTTTTTTAGTTATATTTCTATTTTCCTATATTATACATTAATTATACCTAAGATATTTTTACTGTTATTCTCATCTCATATTCAAGTATTTATTTATTTATTCTTTGAATTTTTATCATAACCATTATTTCATATATACTTTCATTGTACATTATCTGTTCTATTGTTATTTTAATACCTTGTTTTTATGTTGAATAAAAATGAAAAATAATTATTAATTATCAATAATATGTCAATTTGATACAATTGCATGTTGTAAATAAATGAAAATATTAAGAAATGAAATAGGTAATTAAGTTGTATATATTAAA